TTTTTTTTTTTTTTTTTGCCTGATTTGTCTGTATCTCCTTGAATAGATAAGCAATCCAGAGTCAAATATTTTGCACAGGATATCAAATCATTCAGTATCATTTCTTGGATTTGTCCTGTGTGCCATCATTAGTTTTTCTGTGTCTTTTGTTCTGTATGTTGCTGTAGATATAATAGATGATAAGAAGGAGACTTTGCTTCTGGAATGTAATCAAGTTATACAGAAAATGTCTGTGTTCAACTTTCCTGTTTGTAACTTTTTATACATTTTCTTATTCATTTGCTGTTTGTCTTCATAGTTCTGTTCTAAATTTCCATATTACCAAAGGGATATAACTGGGGGAGTTCACTGTGCTGTTTTGTCTGGATGTGTTATTAAGTAGAGCGATTGAAGGTAGGAGGAAAAATGTTTTAAAAAAATATGCAGGAAGGGAGTAATATTCTGAGAAATGGCTCATAATTTCCCCTTAAGTCACAAAAAAACCTATTCATAACACAAACCTTCTATTATGCTTCTAATAACTTCATTAAATCACGGCCTAAATTGCGATCAGATTTGGCGAACAACAGTGTAGGAAACACTGACACAGTTGTGAAGTGAAGCAATTTCTGCTTCACTTTGGAAAAATGTGTTTTGTTTCTTGTAATTTTTATTACAAACAATGTCAGAGACAATCTTCACCTGATTTTAGGAACTTAATCTTTAAATTCTTTGAGATTTTTCTTAGCCTCACTTCTCACCTCTCCACCTCTGTCGGCCGAAAACACCTTCAATACCCCATCATGAATACCGCTAATGATACACTTCTCGAGTAGGGCGGCAGTTTGATGATTGCTGTGATCCCGGAAAAAGAAGTTGTTTTCTTGTTTTCTGGCTTCACAGTGCATGTTGCGTCTCTGCGTGCCACTCTAAACTGGAAGACAATATAAAGAAATTTCCACTGAACACAATGATTAATTTAACATAAACAAAAAAAAAAGAACAACTCGTATCCAGATTTTTTTTTAACCTTTATCGAACTTGATAACAACTGATATCCCCGTCCACATCATAGTTATTTTAGAACATCTAAATGTGGTAACATTTTTGTTTTAGGTGGTCAAAATCTTTGTTTAAAGGGACTCGAGATGAACTCAGTAGGTTTACTGTGTTTTTTAATACTGGTAGATTGCTGACAGATGACCAAATGTGTATTTTCTAAAGGCCGCCAAAAGTTCTCATGATGCCACTTTGGCCGACATTTTCTTGTTTGAAAAGACACAGAAACAATGTTGTACAATCATCTGACTTACTGTGTGGACAACTTGTGCCTTAGCTTCTTCAGTGTTGTGTTTCTGAATCCTTGAATGTTCGATCCAACTGGTAAGTCAGGTTTTACTGACTTATGACAACTCTGTTCGTGTTGAGACAAATTTCATGCCCGAGCAAGATGACGTTTTTCTAATCAATTAAAGAAAGAGTTCCAAAGAAGTAGTTATTAGTAATTGATTCTCAATTATTGGCCACAACCCAGCTGAAGTGTTTCGCATTAAATAAAATAACAACCGTTATTTTATACCATTTAATGAGGGCAGGTTTACTCTTCCTAACTCTATTGCAACTCTTAAAAGTGAGGCAAAAACATGTTTTTGCTCAAGGCATGGATCTCTGTTTTTTTTCTTGTTTTTTTTTTTTTCTTTTTAGTTCCAGCTTTATATATCATTAGTAACTGTATGGATCTATAGGGACTGTCTCACTGGAAATCTAGCTGGTTTTCTGCTGTAGTTTGAATAATTTTGGTAGCGTGTGTATTTTTATGCAATAAAGAGTTTTTTGGAAAGATTTTCTGAGTGTTTGTTGAAATGCAGTGACTATGTTTGTATTGCTCATACGGACAAAATGATAAAGTGAAGTTTGTGTGCATAAACAAGTCAAATTCAAATATTTGTAGTTTTGAGATAAATATCACAACACAATAATAGATCAGTCAACAGAGCTGGGCTAAGAAAGTGAACACTCCAGGGTGCGGGAGCTCCTTTAGTACTCTTTGAGTATTGAGTCCTGATCACTTGATGGAGAAGTTAAATCCATAAATTTAAAGTGGACTGTGATGGTAATACAGAGCCAGCACAGCTGAATTAGCAGAGGTGTGACCTGTGAGTCATTGGATTTAGTCATAAGCCTCACATTAGTTGGTCTAAACAACCTGCAGATGTTCCAAGGAAGCTTTAAGACAAGCGAACAATGAATTGGAATTACTAAGATGTAATGGAATAAAGGCATCAGTAATATTTCAAATTCAGAGCATGACAGAATGAAGCACAACTTGGCAATATTTCTGAAGTCATAAAAGCATGAATCAACCAGAGATTTAATGTTTAATTTAAAGTGAAAGCTGCTTCAAAAGTTACACCAACTTTTTGAGAGTTTCTTTTGTTTTGGCTGAATTCTGTTAGGGGCACAAACAAGGACTTCTTTTTATTCCCTTTATTAAGATGAAATTGTCAACCTAACTTTTAATATAGTAAAAGCACTTGTGCAAGGTCTGTACTTATAAACCTCTTTGGACTTAAAAGAAATAAACAATTGAAAGTCATCAGCGTAACACTGATTAAAATAAAACATCCTTAAAACATATTTATTACATTTCTTAGTTGAACCTGGAAGCAGATGGGCTAAAGCAGCAGAAGACCACACAGGGTGCCACTTCTCCTAAAAACATGAAACTGAGCTTATAATTTGCACATGCTCACCAAAATTGGACAAAAGAAGACTGAAAAAACAAATGAGTCTTAATTTCTGCTGTAAAATTTGGTTAGTTGGGTGAGACTCAAACAACATGAAAGCATGAATCTATCTTGCTTTATATCAACAGCTCAGACTGTTAGTGGCAGCCTTATGCTACAGCCTACCCGAGTATTGCTGCTGACCATGTCTATCCTTTTCTAACTACAGTGTACCCATCTTATGATGGCTGCTCGCAGGAGGATAATGTAATCTCAAACTGGTTTCTTCAGCATGACAGGGAGTTCACAGTACTCACAGTCACTAATCACAGTCAACACAATCAAACACTTTGCCACCGGTAAATCTGCAGCTTGTTGAATCTGTGCTACAAAGAATGAAGGCAGTTCTGTAACTCCAAAAGAGTGTTCAACCAAGTACTTACAAGGTGTACCTAATAAAGTGACTGGTGGGTTTCTCGTTGGTAACTTCAAAGTTACAAATTAAAGTTAAATGTGCATCTCAACCTGAGTTTTTGTTCAGTGGTATTGGCGGCAAAACATTAATTTGCCACTCGTAGTTTATCGTCACACACAGAGCAAGTGGAGACACACATAGGTGATAAACAGCTCAGAGATCCAACGATGTGAGTCATACATTTCTGGTGTACACACCCAGCACCTCCCTGACTGGGAATTAGACTTTGCTCAGCATGTTGTGGCAAGTCTGGTTTCTCTGTAAAATGGGAGTGGCAGGAACAGAGGCAGGTAGGGGAAGGGAAAGACAACACAAAGGTAGAGATCGTAAGGGAAAGTAACACAGCACTGAAGCAGGAAGAGAAAGAAAATGAAACAAACGCTATCACACTGGAACTTTTTAATCCACACCTTGGACTATAATTATTTTCCCTCAGTGTTGTTTCTGTTTTTCTTCACGTCACAGAGCGAAAATCTGCTGCGCCATTGTTTTCTGTTCACGTAGCACCACAGTTCATATAATTAATGATACTCAAACTTGGGTATTTGCAGTGTATTTTGCTACACAGTACATCTACAATATAAACACATAAAATAAGTGCTTAATAAAACTACTGAGTACTTCCACAGTTATTCCTTTTTCATTGGTGGGATCGTGCCATGTTTAAATGTTTTTTGACATGTTTGACCAACAACACAAAATGAAGAGATCCCAAAAAGTTGATTCTGTTTGAGTGGACATAGCCTTTTCAGTGGGACTGACTTCTTCAGTCTCCGTGAATAATTGAGCACGAAGACAAAAAGAAGTAATATTTACTCAACAGTTGTGCATAACAAGAAAGTATCAACAACTTTCACTTGAGATGAAGAGACTTTTGTTTCTGTTTTTTGCTGTAAAAATCTCCCGAAAGTGCAGCTCTAAGAAAAATCAGCACTGTAAGATGATATCTTTAACACATTGAACACATCTTTGTATAATTTATGTGCTCGATTTTCTGCTGTCTTTATCTGCACAATGCTGACCCCCTCAGGTCTGAGAAGTTACAGAATAAACATGCTGGTGATGAGATATTAGCAGAGAATAGAAATGAATAGAAATGTGGTTCATATAAACAGGAAATTCTAACAGTGCACGCTGGAAAACTTCTCAGCTGCTGTTTTTATCTCTGTAAAAGTTTTTTTTTAAATTCAGCACATCATTTCAAATTAAAAGTCAACATGTTTTTGTAAGCCCTGAAGTTTAAAAACGAGTGATTCCACAAGGAAACTAGCAAAATATTGTTATAGAAATTAAATGAAAGCAATATCAGTACATTAAACGGTACATTACTTCTAATGCTATTATACACTCACTGGTCACTTTAATAGGTACGCTTCAAGTCGATCCCTGTTTGCCTTCAGAGATTATTTTATTCTTCAGAGATGAATACACTGCAGTCATAAAGGGTTGGATATGGTTAGCAACATTACTCACTTAGTCTGTGATGTTTAAATGATGCTTAATTGGTACTAAGAGGCCCACTCCATTTCAAAACCACAAAAAATGTGAGCTGATTGTTTAAACAAGGCAGGATGGATCCATGCTTTCATGTTGTTTCTGCCCACTTCTGACCCTGCCATCCAAATACAGGTGCAGAAATTGAGACTCTTCAGATCAGGTCATGTTTCTACTATTATCTCCAACTTACTAACAGTTCACCATCAGTGTGAGCATGTTGAAGTGCCCAGAAGTTGACAAATCACAACATATGTTGTATAATGGACTATGTAAATGTTAAGTTACTTTACAAACATT